CAATCAATGTTTGCATTGGGAATCATTTTCCAGTTGGCGTGGCACGTGAGAGAAGCTGCTCTTCCTCTGCAGCTCGTCCCAGTCCAAACAAACCAGGCCTCAGTAAGTCGTGTTTGTTTTCATGGTCGCGTGACGCCCCAGCATCCCCCACCAGGACCGGTGTCATGCATGTGCACTCGGCGTCACGTGATCGTTTCCGGGTTCCATTTGCGTGTGGAGACATTTGAGTTCCCAGAATGTTTTCATGTTTAAACTTAGAGCTGTGGGTATTTATGTATGGATCACATGAACGTGTTTGTGAGAGGGGTCGCCCCCCCCCCAGCACTTTAGCGTCACTCAGCTCATTGTTTTGGTTTTCTGGTCTCACTGCTCTCATCCATTTTGATTCCAGCAGAACGGGGTTGATTTCAGCTGCGGACACTGTTCACGACCTGCTCTTACGATTTCACGATTTGCACTTAGCAGCTAAAGAGTCTGATTCATCTCTCAGGATTTGGTGGAGAGCAACTGGAAAGTATGACGACGGACAAATAAATAAACGTTACATTTTCGGTGGGGAGGAATTTATAGGTTTGCACACATGGATTCAACACACATGGTCTGGTTTTGGTTTTGGCATCGCTTGGCAAAGCAGAACAAGACTTGTTATGGGAATCTGTTCTCAGCAGGGTCGGAGCCATTACACACACACACACGCACACACACACACACATACACACACGTACACACTATGGTTAAGATGGGTACGTTTTTGAAAGAAGAGATGAAAGGCATCAAAGCGGAGGTGGATAAAATCATATACACAAAAAAAAACATGCATTAAATTCACTTTATTCATATCGTAGAGATCAGAGTCAGACTGTGATAGAATCTGAAAAGTGTGTTTGTATTATTACGACAACAACATGTCACAGTGAAATGATATAACACAAACAAAAGACGTGACTACTTAAGAGAACTCAATTCAAATCAACTGTTCTCAATTCATAATTTAAAATCTTGAAATTAAAGATTTTCAAAATTCATTCTTCTTTGCAGACAAGACCACGGATTATTTATTAAAATGGACGACGTGACGGCTACCAAAGAGTGAAGCCAAATAATCTTGATCGCCCCCTGATGGCTGGCTGCAGTATAGCTCATGAGCCCCACTTCTTCAACGCAAATATGGACTAAACTTGAAAATTGTTTCTCAAAGATGATTTCTGTCATTTTAATGAATAATCCCACAGATGCTTGATGTTTTTTCATGTTTCTGATAAGATTGGTTTTGATTAGTCACTTGATGCTATAAAAACGAGGTGAAACATCACGATTGATTCCTGATTGGTCGGACTGGGACCTCGCCACCATGGCTACATCCCCCCGATCGGTACTCTGCAGATTCTGGCTCCACATGACATCATTGACAGGAGCGTCCATATCCAGGATATTTTGGCTTCCTCTCTGAACAGTGGGAGGAAGTGAAGATTCATATTTAGATACAGTTTATGGAGAAAAGACATGGAACACACTTGTGCATGTTAATTCAAATGCGGACATGGAGTCTTGAAAATTGAAAATTTCCAATTCAATCACAGCGGAAGATGAGTCATGTGCCTCACAACCAGTAAAACAACTAATGGAGCTTTGAATGGGCTTGTTGTTGTCGGTTGTTCAGTGTCTGTTCCCTCGTAGGTTCTGGTGCATGCAACTCACGAATTTGAGTTTCCAGCTCTTAGAAAGAAAATCTTGCAGGTATAGAAATTGGCCAGAATTTTATAAATCAGTTCATCTGGAGCTGAAGTGAGATAAAAGGGGGTTGTAACTGGATGTTCCGTAGTTTCCCGTAAGTGTGATGCCCTTGTTTCCAAACAAAGATCTTCACGTGTTTATCAGTCACCATCGGCCTTATCAGGAGCGAGTGAGGAGAAGGAAGGAGGAGAGAGGGAGAGAGGAAAGACGGAGGGGTGCTGTCGACGAGCCTGTCGCACCACACCATCCCCCACAGACGCCTCGGCCTCGGGCTCCTTCTGTCTCTTCACCCTCCGAATCCGTTTCCCCTCTCTCTCTCACTCAGTGTCATCGTTCACTCCTCATTTTCCTGTTTTATCTCCCTCGCTCTGTTTCTGTCTAGAAAAGAATCCCACTCTTTCTGAATATTCCTCTTCAAACCTCTGTTTTCGGGCACATCTCGCTCACTCGTTCTCTCCAGGAGCAGCTGGAGCTATAATAACATTTCGCCCATCCATCAAGCACAGCCAGCGCTGATCAATAAGCACTCTGACTCCACTCCTCAGCATCGCACTGAACTTCAAATGTCTCCCCTCTGTCTCTGTCAGTACTTATCTCTCTGCTGACAAAGCTACATTACAGCTCGGGGTGGATGACTATTACAATAGATTTCACAATGCATTTCACTACTGTGTGTGTGTGTGTGTGTGTGTGTGCTGTAAAAGAAATACACCAGAGCTGATCTACACCCTCTGTCTATGTTCTATAATTTTTCAATTCATCCTCAAGGATCTAAAGAAGTTGTAAATCGTGTATATAGGCAGTAACAACACGGCTGCATCAGCATAATAGTGTATATGTGTGTGTATAGGTGTCTAAATGTGTGGGTATTTAACACGGCCTGTTTCTTTTGAAGGTGTCAACCGCGTGTGAATTAACAACACGTGTGCTTCTTACACACGTGGCACGTTTCAGAGGTCTCTTCATGTTAAATTCTCTTTTGTAAAGGTTTTAATCATGTTGTGAGGACGTAGATCTGTTTACACGATCACATTGTGGGGACTCGTCTTGCTGGAATGGAAAATGTTTGTATCTAAATATGAATGTTTTTTTTGCCTCTGCATGATTTTGCCCAGTATGTGAGGGGAATCACACAATAATGTCGAGTCATGCTTTGATGTATGCGATAAAATGAGTTGGCAGAAATTAAATATAGAAGAATCCAACCAATCAGCAGACGTTCCTTCCATTTTTCTTCCAGTTCATGTGAGAGAAAGACAGACAAAGGTCTCGGCTCTTTCTCGGCTTGTGACCGTTCACCACAGGTTCTGCTTTCGCTGGAAATAAGTGAGCAATGCGTTGAAAGAGGGGTTTTCTGTCGTTCATTATAATATGGGGGAGTTTGCAGCCCGGCTGAGGGGCTGTGGAGACGCTCCTTGTTTCATGGATTCATCCTGGGACGAAGTGTGCGGAGAGAAGCGTCGTCCATCTTCCTGTTGTTATTCAGAACGATACTCATAAAGGCCAATGAGAATGTGCTGGGAAGCAGAAATCGAACTCTTTCAGTTTCACTATTTGTCACTTCTGGCTTCATTTCTTGTGACCCGATATTTCAGCTTGTGGCCACATTGTGTGTGTTTTAACCAGAGAGAGAGTTTTTCAGTCTTCTAAGAGGGAAAAAAAAACTATCCAGGAATTCACAGAGAAGATAAGAACAACATCATGTAACCTGTTTTTCTTCTTGTAAGCCTTTTGAGGCCCCTTTAAATTCACAGTGAGTCCCTCTTAAGAGTTCCAGCCCCGGTTTGGGAACCCATGCGTCAGCCAATTGGTTACAGCAGAGTTTATATAGTGCTTTAAATGTAATAAAACCACTACTAAACAACTCTAATGATGTACTTTTGTTGATATCCTCAAGCCGAACTGCTGCACCGAGCAGGGCTGATGTAATATTTATAGCCTGTTGTGAGCATCTAAATATCATTAAGCAGGAAATAACATGTAGAGCGTCACCTGTTCTGGAGATTAAATCAGATATCGACGGAAGAGAAAGAGAAAGAGGATGAGAAGGACGAAGAACCTTCTGGACTGAAACCACACTCGGACCCCATCACAGCTTCACTTTCCTGTCTCTCTCCTTTAACAAAACACAGCCCCTGTGGCTTCAGCTCGGTTTGATTTCAATAAGCAACAAGCATCTTTCACCGTCCTGCTCCTGCTCTTTGTGCACAAAGCTCGGTGGAGAACTTCAAGTCCTGTGGTTTTCGTGCGGTGTAGACTTAAAACCACAAGAATGTGAGAATGCATGTTCCTGAGCAGATTCACGGCAGTTTTAATGTGCAAGTCTCCTGCAGAGCTGGTGCCACTGCTTCTCTTCCTCCTGGAGGTGCAGAGACGTGGAGTGAAGTAAACAACATGAGGTTATGTGAGTTTGTTCGAGCAGGAGAAAGAAGAAAAACATGTCAGGACTTTTCATGCCAGGGCAGGTTTTTTATGAATGGAAGTTTTTTTTTTTTTTTCTTCCTCTGCTAACTTTCCCTCTCTCTCTCTCTCTCTCGCTCTTTTTTTTTTTTTGTGAATGAAAAACAACTGGAAAATCCGGAATAAAAGAACCACAGTGTCCGGGGAGGTGATTGGCTGCTGTGGTGCAAGCTCCACCCACGGTTGCTAGGATGTGGAATACCGGACTTCTGATTGGCTCCTGGGTGGAACCGAGACTTCATTCATAAGTCAGTGTAGTCATGCGGACAATGGCGAGAAATTTGAGCCCTTGAAAGAGGAAATCAACCAATCAGGAGTCTCCTCTGGGTCGAGCTGGAAAAGCAAGTCTCCCTGAAATACCCCCCCCCCCAAAAAAAAAATCAGGTCTGATAGAGAAACGACAGAACAGCTGGGAATTAAAAAGTCACAACACTTCAATATAAACTCAAACTGCACTCAATAAACTTTTGGTTCGGTTGCAGGGACTCGACTAACATCTGGTTCCCCTCTCACGTTCAGCTGCTTCCTAATAGAAAGTGGAGACTGGCAGTGTGGGCAGACGTGGCAGAAAGCCCGAGCAGCAGAAAAAAGAAAAAGAAAAAAGAAGCTGTTAAATAACATTAATCACACAACACACTTTGTGATGCGTGTTGCTGTTTGACGCTGGGGACGCATTCTGCTGCACACGAACCAAAGGAGCAAAAAAAAAAAAAGTGCGTAAATTGGTGCGTAAAAGTACCTGAACATTTTTTTGCAGGTTGAATTGGACGCGTCTCTCTCTCCCTCTTTCTCTCACGCACGCTCACGCACACAAAAGAGATTTGTAAAGAGGGCAGCAGCCCGCTGGGTAATCACTTGCCATCACTTCCCCTCGGCATTTTTTGTGAATGGAGCTCATTATGCATGCAGCCTCCACGCAGCTCCATTCACAAGCTGCGCTCCCTCCTCTCCGTGCACGGCTGCGTGGATCTCACTCAGCTCAGCCTCAATGACCACAAACGGTTAACGGATGGATTATAAGATGGATGGATATTTGGACCAGCAAGTGCCTTACACTTTAGCAAATGTACGTATGGATGAAGTCTTCTCTTACTTTCAAATGCGTGCGCGTTTTCGTTGCAGCCACCGGGCTCTATCCGTGTCGCGTCTGCACGAGTTGTTTCTTTTTCTTTTTCACGCGTAAAGCAGCTGTGCGCGCGACGGAAAACGGTCTCTGAAAGCGCCTAAAACTGCCACAACATGTCCACAAAGTGAATCACATGGAGTTGTGCAAGTAATAATGTTTGCAAACGGGTTTGTCCGGGGTGAGGAGCGCGTCCGTGTTTGTGCCAAACGGCCAGTTTACTTCAGACGCAGGCTGCGCGTTTGTTTTTCCACCGATCGCCTCTACAACTGAGAAATGTGTTGTTGTCCGAGGAGCCCTGCGTTCACCTCCCGGCTCCCATTTGTGACCCATTACAAATTATTATCATCACCACCCTGCTCAGATGCATCCAAGTGCTTAACCCTGCATCATTTCTGCCTTTTCTCCATGGCACAGCAAACATGGCATTGTCTGTTTTCATCATTAATTCCCTGCTGGAGTCTTGTTTCTCACTTTTCCTCTATGGGTTTTACAGAAGTCGCAAGGAAATGGGCCCCTAAATAGACTGTTGATGGCAGCGAAGAGGAAATACATGGACACAGAATTACCCCCTCAGGAATCTGAAGGTAAAGAAGTGGAAGTCCACAATTTTGGCCTCTGGTCTCATAACATGTTTACATCATGGTAGACGAACCGTAAAGCTCATATCTTCATTTGTATTGATCACGTTCTGGTCTCTCTGCTGTGTGTTGATCCTTTTCTTTCTTTTTTTTCTGTCCAGACCTCTTCCAGGATTTAAGCCAACTCCAGGAGACATGGCTCACGGAAGGTGAGAGTTGCCCCTCAGGCTGATTCTCCTCTTAATCTCTGCTTTTCTGTGATGATGCACCATTTATTTATTACTGTCCCCATGAGGTTGATGATGTGTCTGTCTGTCTGGGAAGATTGGTGGACACAGAAAGTCACAGAAGACTATGGCCTCTAGGTTTTCTGTCAGTCTCCACAAAGTTTCACTTTGTCAGTGAGGCGCTGTCCTCAATCTGATCCTGAGAATAAAAATGATATCTGAGTTGAGCCGCCTTTTGTCCCGTAGCTTAAACTTTCTGATGCTTACGACACAGAAGACAAAAAGTCCAGAGAGAACACAGTCGGGACAGTATTAGTTGAGCATGTCCTATTTTGGCCATGTTGGCATGTAGTGTGCTTGCCAGTCAGCGGCCAAGGCAAACAAACAGGCTATTTGGCTTGTGTCACTCAAAGGCACATAGCGATGAAATGAGGCCCTGTCGGAGGCAATTGTCAGCTTGTAGACTTGATAAGTGCAACGATGACATGAGCCCTAATGGAGTAATTATACTGTATGCCGAGAGAGAGACAGAGAGAGACAGAGAGAGAGGAGGGGGAGTACAACACAAGCCGTGAGTCATGACGCCTGTTTTCGGTGCTGACCTGGAGCTCAGCAGCGGCAGGACAATGGGTTTAAACTGAGAATTGCACCAAGAGGTGTGAACTCTGTTGTGTCGACGGCTTTGATGTGGAGCTTTAAAGGGAAATGTGACATTTATATTCTAACGTGATTCACGTGAAAACTCCTATTGATCCTGTTTAAAATCCCCCTCAGCTCAAAATGTGTTTATCTGACCCTCGGTGTGCAGAACGATGTACGGTCAGAGCTGGAAGGTTATTTTCACATTGATCTGTTTAAAGTGTGAATGTAAAAGTAAAGTTGGGACATCAGGATCGGTTTGGATCAAGTTGTGGCCCAAGATGCAGCGAGGAGACATCTAGACGTGTGAAATTTAATTCACTGACATGAAAAACTTGAGTTAGAACATTTGAGAAGAGGGACTAGAAGCCTTTTTGTTTTTAATTGAACTTTGTGGAAAAACTTCAGATACAGGTTCTTATTCAAAGCATGTTTGGAGGGAATTCAAAATTCATGACAGAAACTTTCCAATTCTTTGTAAATGCCGTTTTAATGAAGTGCATATGGGTGGTGCTCTTTTGTTATTGCCTCTGCAGAATTTCATAACATTTCTAATCATGAAAATTGCTTGTGTCACCTTTTTTAAAACAGTACAATGAGGCCCAGTGTTGACTTTGAGTCATGCAGGCCAGTGAACTAAAGGGAAGTCAAGGCAGTTGCATTTGTCTTAAGGCCAGACAGACATTTAAATAGAGCCCACTCCTCAGCCATGCTACTGTCTATGACCAAACAATACTGTATGCGTGTTAGCTCTCTCCCCTTTTCTCATGCGGTGTCAAAAAACCGGCAAGTTCACTTCACACCGCCGTCCCACGCAGACAAAAAGCCGAGAGCCAGAGCCAATAAAACCACAACAATGGGTGTCGCTTCAAAGTTGGAGGCTTTTCGTATTCACAGGTTTGGCTATAAATGCCACCCTCAAAGGGTTAGAGCACAAACAAACCACAGGAAAAAAGTCTCTCACTTACCTCAAGTGGAATTTAATAATCCAGATACTTTTGGTTTTATTTGCTCAAGGTTTATCAGCCTACCAGGTTACTGCTGCCAACTCACTGCAGTGAATTTGAATGAAACAAGTCAGAAATCCGTTTTTTCCAGGAAGTTGTAAAACAAAGAATCTTGACACTGCTTCTAAACACCGATATTGAGCGTCCCATCCCTAATCTGGTCACGTACGATAATTTAACCTCAAAATACGATAATTTTCAGCCTCTGGTAAGATACTTCAACATTTCCCATGTGGCAACGCTGCCTCTCTATTGTGTATCTGTGGCAGAAGTCTCCTATCAAGTCAAATCCTGGACAAATGAAAGTAAAACTTCCAAAACACAGTTAAGAAAGTAAAGTAAAAAAAAAAAAATATATATATATATATGTATTTTTTCTGTTTTGGGAAACATCATGTTCTGACTTTGAAATCCAGCCGGTAGCTTATTGTCGACTCACAGTGAACACAGCAAAAAAAAAAGGCAGAGCAGAAAGATGGAAGTGTAACTTTATCAAAGTGTTATTTAACCCTAAGTACGGGCTTGTTCCCAGCTTCCCCGGCTAAGACCCCTCCTTTCCTGCTGCATTAATTAAAGACCTTATCATGACTGATTGCAGTTGTGAGGGATTCACCAAGATTGTAAAACCTGGTCCCTGCTGGAGGGAGGTTTTTTTTTTTTTTTTTTTTTTTTTTTTTTTGTTGCTACAGAAGAGCGGAAGCGAGGGAGAGAAAGACAGGGTGAAGCACTGAATGGCAAGAGTTCAGGAGCTTGTCACATCTTGTCTCATTTTGGCCTTTAGGTTTATATGACTGAGGCAGCTTGGCCCCTCCCAGGATCTCCTACCGAGAGAAAAAAAAAAAAAAGTCATTCAAGGTGCCTGGAAGCATCAGGAGAACATGCGTCTGTGCTCGTATAAACCCACTTTCCTTCTTGTGCTGACTTGCATCTCAAAGCCCCTGACGAGGTGTTCCTGGAAACAAATCAGATACACATGCAAGCGGAAAGTGCACAGACGCAAACACACACACACACACACATCAGGGTTCAGGCTAATGTCTGGTGGTCGACATCCGTGTTTCTTCTCTCCTGCGTCTTCATGAGGTCCGGCATGTTCCGTTCTGGACATGTTGAAACTAGTGGAAGTGATTGATTGTTGGATCTGTGCAGCTGAACATCGGCCCCTGCTCTGTCTCATGCAGCCGTTTTTATTTCTGCCCCCCCCTGAGGCTGAGAGGCTGAAAAGTTAAAAGGGGGTAATATTGTTATGGTATAGTAACCCACAGGATGCAGCGTTACGTAAAAGAAATCGATGTGATTTATCTGAACATGCTCCAAAACGTCGTCGTCCGGTTTCCTCTGCACAGGAAGGAGGAGTGTGACGACAAGAAAGTGGATTTGAATTTCTTATTTCCTCTTTTTGTCCTCTGTGTGTGTGAGATTTGGTTTCTGTGTAGTGTGTCTGGAAATCGTAGTGATAGATGGAGAGAGAGAGGAGAGGCCAGGGAGGTCGAACGCTGGGTGAGGTGACAGTCAAAAGGCCTCAGTGCAGAGTTTTGCTGGCGTCCATGTTGTTGAAAAAAACTGGAGTGACTCCGGATTACAAAGGTTGCTCGACCTGGTTCTGCTCAGGTCTTTGAATATTTAAATATGATGCACACAAGCTCCAGCCTCGTTGGGTGAATCTGACCTTCTCAAAGGATTTGAGCCTCTAACCTTCTAAATTCTCTAAAAAATAATAAATAAGGAACTGATTTGATCTGCTGCTTTTCCAGTTAGATCCTAAATGAGTTTGGATTATGAGAGAGGTTTAATGTCGGCCACTGAAATAGAGGAGAAGTCAAACAAGGTATCACAAACATATTCGTTCTACATCACTTTATCAAATGTTCTGTGTATTGTTTCCGAAGCTGTTTTCAGACAAGCAGTGAACTCCGGATATTTCCCAGAGTTCATGTCTGAAAATAACTCGAGACGCCCACTTTTAAACATCACAGCCTCATAAATGACAAGTTTGAACGTCTTTACAGGAAAAGTACCGTTATCAAATCTGTGATTATAACTGGAGAAAACGTTAAATCACAGCAAATTGAATTTCAGTTTTCCAGGGAGCACTTTAACCTTCACTTCTTGTTCCTCTATCTCACTTCTCTCCTTCTTGTTCACTTCTAGTCTGACAATCATCACATGCAGCGGATGAAATCCAGACTATTTATACTCTGTTAGACAGAGTCCCCAACGCTTTGTGATGGTGTTTCTACTTCATCACACCACTTGACACCACTTGTTTAGCCAGAACAGCCAGTTCAGGCTGTTCACATGTCTGCAGTGGAAACAGAAACTGGTTCACAGCGACTGGTGCAAACTAGACCGTTAGCAGGAAGACGCTTCATCGGTTTGGATGGACGAGAAAATAGTTTCATTATATGACTTGAACAGAATATATACTAATAAAGGAACCTGTCAACTTGGCTGTTCGCTCATTGAACAGTCAACGTCAGACACGGACTCTGGGTAATATCTGAAGAAGTGGGTCTGGACATTTTCTGGACTGGATGCAGATCCAGGTCCCACAACAACAGGAACATTTCTAGGAACATTTGTGGGCGGGGCATGCAGGAGACAGGACATGACATAAAAATTTGGTGCGTAAATCTCATGTTTTTTGGCGTCGGCCCTTTTCACCAAAAACTCTCAGATTTCGTCGTCTCTCCAAGTTGATGTTTTATTTATTATATTAGTAATGTTCTGAAACATCATCAACTCATTCGCTGTGAATTTTCTGGAAACGTCCTGGTGTAATTCTCACATGTACTTTTCCGAACTTTTTACTTACGGGGGGGCCGGCAGGAAGAAATATCTATAGCAACTGACTAAAAAAAACCACGCTCGGGTCTATGAGAACATCTGCGTTGCCATTCATGAGCTCCGTGTTCTTGTGTATTGATCTAAGCGCTGGCATCAGAAATCGTGAAGTGAAGGTCGCCCGGCTCGAGTCGTACGAGGCTCCGACTCAGATTTGAAGGAAGAGATGAAGACAGATTGAGTTAGGGGGTGGGGGCGGGGTGGGGGAGACACAGAGAGGTCAGGCTTTGACTGAAATATAATAATAATGTTAAAGTTCTGGTTGCTGATTTTTGTCTTCTCATTTCAGCTCAGGTTCCGGACAGTGACGAGCAGTTTGTTCCTGATTTCCATTCTGAGAACTGTGAGTACTTTTTATTTACGTGATCTGTCAGCGTGTACATGTATGTGCTCATGTCGCTGAGTGGATTCAAACACAAAATCTGATTTTCCAACAAGTTGTTCTATATTCGGTCATGTATTGATGTATCACGGACAGCTGTGCACGGACAGTTGAACCCATATTTCAGATTTGGTCAGTTGAAGTCCAGCTGAAGCGAGGACGAACCCAGAGTCAGATTCGGGCTGTGAAACCGCCAGAGGCTTACGAGGGGATACTGTAACTCGCTGATGTTACAGTAATCTCTCTGGCAGACAAAGCCGTGCAGAAACAGAAGGCCTAATGAGCCGGGCATGACGTGAATTTGGATGCCGGCGTTTATGTGCTGCTGTCATCCATTTGCATTCCTTTGAAAAGCTGAATGGGTTCAGCGCAGGAAACCAGTAAGAAAAAATAATTCAGGGCGCAGGTACAAAGTCGGCCCTTTGTGCACATCGGAAGGTGTAAAATGGAAAAGCAAATTCCTGGGCCGCAGAACTGAGCGGCGATTTGAATGAGTTTCCCTCTTTTTGTTGTGCGTCCTAACAATAGCGCTTCAGGATCTGGGTGGGAGTATGTGTCGCTCTACAAACACTGGTTTTTTTCCCCCCCGTCCCATTCAACCCAGTGCGGAGTTCTCCGTCTTTAGCAATGACACTGACAGGGTTACTTCAAGAGACCTCGAAACGCCTCCAGAATAATCTCATCCCGAAAGTAGAACTGACAGCTTTCAGTCCCAGTCAAAGGTTCTTCCTCTCACTGAGACCCGTGTGTCCTTTGTGTGTGAACATCATGTGACTGAACCAGCTCGCAACCGGTCGGCCGCGCTGTGACACATGGCCTGTGCGACATTGTCACTGTCTGTTGGCCAACAATGCCGAGGAGGAAGTGGAGATGAACCTCGGGGCACACAGAGGTCATGTCTACTTAACCTCCTGGCCTGTCAGCCAATCAGCTGTCAGGGCTCTGCTAACGGTTGACCCGGGCGTGATTTGCAGGGTCACGGGGGCTTCAGTTTGACGGGCAGTTCACTTATACGCGGCACAGACACTCCGGCGTTGACAGTGTCCCTGCTGGTCACAGTCAATAGCCAGCGCATCTAAGTGGAGCATCTCTATTCAGCTTTGATTGATGGAAAACTGAAGTTGACAAGCGACTATAAATATATTCATTAGTGAGCTGTATTAAAAACACAAAAAGGCTTCACACTGCCTGATACTTTTAAAAACAGGTGACTCACCTGTTTTGGAAACTCAAGCCCGTAAAAGACGGAGCATAAAGCGAAGCTCTAATCCCAGGTGACTGTTGTATAATTGAGGCTTGCATTGAAAAATGGCGCTCTGGTAAAATTAAACTTTGTTGTTCACTGAGTCAGGTTGTTACCTGCGTGGGTGCGGTGTTGACAGAGCGAGGGGAGAGACAGAAAGAGGCAGCCGACGAAGCGGCTCGAAGACGAGACGGGAAAACAGGGGACATGCTGGAATGCCAGATTCGAGGAGAGGAGGGAGCTGAGCGGCGATTGTGCAATACCTGCACATCTGGAAAATCTATCTCATCTGGTCCATTCTCGTTCAGAGCTAACAAGCGTGCTCTGTCTGCAGGCTGCCATTGAGGGAAGGTTATGCAAACATGCAACTTTTATGTACTTGCTGACCTGCCTGTGTGTGTTTAAAGGTAATTGAGCCTTTGGTGATAACAGCTCACCATATTTTTGTCCTCTTCACCGTTGAACTAATGTGATTTGGCCCTTTGTGGGGTTTTATCTCTTGCTCATCGGGAGCAGAGGCGGATTGATGTTTGGTTTTCGGAGCTGACAGCACCTTCGGGGGTTTATCCTCGTCTGACGCTGTTGGACAGATTTCTTTTGTCTGTTCAGCGCCTGCGGGGAGGAAACATGTGGAGGTGTCACTCAAAAAACTTGTAATGCACATAGTTAATTAGAAGTGGCCCGAACACGTTACTTATTTTGTGTGAAGAAATGCAGAAGGGCCACGTCTGGGACGTTCAGCGAGACCGAGAGCCCGTTCTTCTTTGTCCAAGCATGTTGTTTACACTTGGAGCAGCTCGAGAGATGTGACCCATTCATAAATTTTCTTCCCTGCCTGCGTAAGAGGAAGTGTGTGTGTGCACCACCCCCTCCCCCCAGTCCTCGGCTGCTCTCTCCTTCAGTCTTCATTCATAAAAAAGCCCTACAGTACTACACATCCCTCTCTCCGACACCCCCTCCTGTCCAAGTGGATACTCCAAACCCCTCCCTCCCTTCCTGTGTCTGTACAAACTTAGTCGAATTTAAAAAATCTGGACACCCCCTCCCCCCTTTCCCTTTTTTATGTCTCTCTCTCTCTCTCTACACACACACACACACACACACACACACACACACACACTCATTGAGTGTTCCAAGATGTGAACTAATCCAGTGATTTTGGGGCTGTGTGGGACGATTGTTTAGTTTTGTTGCTCGCAGTAATTATATAGGAAGTTGTGGCTATAGAATGCTGTGACAGTGCTTTTCATGGAGCAAGTTTTAGTAGAGGAGAGAACGCGAGATGAAAAAGGGGAGAGACTTTAAAGAGTGCAGAGGAAGGAGAGAAGAAAAGGATGGAAAGATATAAACTCAATCAACAAACTCACAAACGTGTGCCTCACACTCTCATTTGTACTTTTATAGAATAATACACATTATACATTACTTAATTAATTGTCGGGTGTATTAGAGGAAAACATTTAAGTCCAAAGGGATTCGGATTATTTTTCTGCATCCAGTAGTTCAAAAACAAAAGATTTTTTATTTACTACAACAAAGAAAATCTGGAAGTAACTCACTTCGGCCAAATCGACATGAAAAGATAAACAGTACCTTTGTCCTCTGTTGGTTAACTACAGAGGGAGGCAGAGAGAAAAAAGTGTAGAGACAAGAGAATGCAAAAGTTCCAGTAACGCAGCTCGACCCTCTGTGTGTTCTGCTTTGTCATGAATTCACAGCCTTCCTCTTGTTTGTGTTGTTTTTCTGGATCCGACCTGAGTCCAATCAGGCCCCTTTTTTCTATTTTTTTGGAGCATTGGACGACGGGTGAATGGAGCCCCTCCCTTCTTCCCTCCCTTCTTCCCTCCCCTCCCCCTTCTTCCCTCCCTCTCTCTCCCCCCCCCCCCCAAAAGAGAAAACATGCACCTCTGTGTTCTCCACTTTCCAAAATACAGCTGCTATGCAACAAAGCGAGCAAAAACATCCAGGTGCCTGCCAGATATGTGCGGACGCAGCTCGCTTACTCGCTCCAGGGAGGCCAGCTCTCCTCAATGAGTTGTGTGTTTGTTGCAGCGTTGTGTTTTTGCTTCTGAGTAAAATGGCTGATTTTCTCCAACTTGGACAGATGATTTCTTTTGACGGCCTCTCGTCCTCTCATTCGTGCACACGCACACAAATGCACTCGGTCTGATCTACACACACACACACACACACACACATGCAAAGTTCAGCCCTGCTCTTTTATGAATGGGTCGGTTGTGAAAGACTGGCTGAGGCAGCACATTGAGTTAAGGGGAGTGAACATTCATTCATGACATAGGGGGGGCATTATTCCACCACTAACAACACCTATGAGAGGTGCACACCTGTTTTTTTGTCACAGGACTACAGCTATTTTTTAAGATCTCAGATTTTTACGACATGCAGCCCCAGTTTCATCCAGATCCCGACTTTGTGTTTGCTCAATTTCTCAGGTCCACATCTTCGGTTTTTCCCAAATTTTGAGTTCTTGCTAGTTGACGACATTATTGAGTCATATTCAGTCAATCAAATCCAATAAAAAAATGGGTTTCTAAAGGCCAGGCGAGCAGCGTAATAGGTGTTTTATAGCTTTCAGTCGGGAAGTAAAAGCTGAAGTCCTCCGTGTTGATTCAGAACAGCCCTGTCAAAGCCAGGGGGGCCACGGGGATTTGAGCCAGCCTCGAATGTCAGCAGCAGAGCTTTGTGAATGGACGGCAGTGTGTGTTTTATTACTGGAGAGTGAGGGGAGGTGTGTGTGTGTGTGTGTGTGTGTGTGTGTGTGCGGAGGAAAAGAGGGTTTGTGTGTGTGCCGGTGCATCCCTGCAACGCTCACATGCGTGTCTGTGCATTTCTATGTCGGCAGCAGTGCGTTTGCTCCAGGAAGACGGTTGAGCTCTCTGCAGCTGGAATGTTTTCTCTTTCGAAAGCGAGCAGAGAGGGGAACAGATGCTGTGAAGAAGAAGAAGAAGAAGAAGAAGGGGCGAGGCTGTGAAAAACAACAGTGGTTAAACTTGAAGCAGTCAATAACAATACTGGGATAATGTCTAATTTTGCCTGTTGAAGGATGATTCCAGTTTATTGCAGCTTTGGCCTCAGTCAAGTTTTGGCATCTGTTGTTAATAATAAGACTCCACTCACCCAGTGATCTGGTGAGATCTGGAAAAGCAGTAACAATCAAAAACAAGTCAGAATTAGTCTTATAACTTTTCTCTTTTGTTATTCTCACATCTTTACTGAATGAACGCCTTTGGGCCAAGAATGTCTGATTTATGTTTGTACGATTAATTCCATGTTGCTTCTCTCGCGGCCTTTTGACATTTGCCCCTTTTCCCTGGGTCCAAAAAAACCACTCACACCCACCAACATCTGGCTTTTGTCTGCAATGGGAATGGAATCAATCGGCATTCACTACCAGATCAAATGGCTCTGCAGCAGACACAGGTTTTTAACGGCTCTGGCTTCGAAACTTGACTTTATTCTGCCATATTCCAGCTCTTAGCAATTTCTCTGAGTACCCGAGTTATGACAAGCTGTAACAAAACAATATGATCTTTTAGGAGCTACTTCTAGCCTCCTGACTTGGCTTAGATTCAAACTGGCATGTCGCTCTCTACACGCATGCATACTGTAAATCAGCACAGAAAACACACAGTGCACTTGAGTGGAGGAGGCAGCTGCAGGGGCGGACCTATAAGCAACATGCTGACACAGACCAGGA